ATTTGCGCTGAATACGATGGTGTAATTCTAATTTAAATACGATTATTATTTTTTTAATTATAATTTTTTAAATGTAATAAAGTCGAGTATGTCCCTATCTTACACGGGTTAATTATACTCCGAGCCAGCCTCGGATTTGACCGCCACGCAGACTGGTGGAGAAATTAGTGTGCGATGTTTTATAGAACCAATTTTTGTGCAGGCGGCCAGCAGTGTTTGGCCTCCTTATCTCTAGTCTTCATGGCACGATTAAAGATATACAAGATATCTTTAATCGTGCTCCAGACGCTCGTGTGTCGGTGCCACTTCCCAGCACTCTTGCACTGTTGTATGGGGGAATACCTTATTCTTGGGTCCAAGCTACACTTCTACTTAAATATAGCATACTGCAATACATCGAATGAATAACTTAATTATTTAACTATCATCGCGATTTGACGTTTTAATGGATTGCATTACTACAGTCGCGATGGAACAAATAAAATCTATGTTTTGCCATGACACTGATTAAGAAGCTTAAGGTAGTTGCACCTTCCTGTAGTATCTAATTTAGGAATAATGGAGAAGTATGCACATGGTTCTTGTTTTTCTATTTATTTTTTGTTCATAAGTCATTTAGCTATTCAATCATCACTTGTGCACTTTTGTTTGTTTGACAGTTTTAGTAACAATTCTTTTGAAACGTTTAGTATGTTTCAAATGTTGCTAATGTCACAGAAATGTAACTTGATTAAAATGCTTTGTAAGCATACTGAGCTGAACAGCAGTTAACATATTTTGAAATATTACTATAGAATTAACTATGAAGTCTAAACAATCAGCAGCTATCTCCTGGGATTCAAAATTACCATTTCCGAGTAAGGCAGTTAAATTTCTAATATTTATTTAAATGACATTATTATTTAAAAATTAATGTTATCATTGTGGAATATGATTTGCAGAATTTCCAGTCTGGTTGTATGTCTTAATTGTAGCATTTGTATCTATATTATGCTATAGTAACTCATATTATGGTGCGTTTGTATTCGATGATTCTGAGGCAGTTGTAAATAATCACGACGTAAACCTAGAAACACCAGTGATTAAGATTTTTAGCCATGACTTCTGGGGTACCAGACTTACGAATCAGGCTAGTCATAAGTCTTACAGACCTATTACAATTCTGTCGTTTAGGTATTTACATGAACATTTAAAACATGTTATATCTTCTATTTCAATAATTATTGATTTAATTGTTTTTAGGTTTAATGTCTGGTTAAATAATGGGCATTTATCTCCTAAGTCATTACATTTCACCAATATTATTTTACATGCAATCGTTTCTTGTCAACTGCTACATGTCTATAATCTATTATTTAATGGAAATTCTCCTAAGACTTCATTTTTAGCAGCCCTCATGTTTGCAGTACACCCTGTTCACGCAGAAGTGGTGCGTTCTATACTTTAGTAGTTAATATATATAATAATAAATTAAACTAACTGTATACTGTTTTTAATTATTTTCAGGTGTCTGGTATTGTTGGTCGTGCTGATCTACTTAGTGCATGTTTTTCTCTTCTTGTCTTTGTCATTTATCATAGAACAGCAAAAACTAAACAAATAAATACATTAACCAATATAATGGCCACAGTATTTTGCTGTATTTTAAGTGCCATGGCTATGTTATGCAAAGAACAAGGGCTTATGATTATGGTAAAACTCATTTTTACTAGATTATGTTTAATTCGATAAATAAATATAACCAGTATATTATTTGTATACCTAATTATAGTCGTTTTGTGGCATGTTTGAAGTTATTGTGATCAACAAAATCACGTTTCAAACTATTATGAAAAACATTAAATTCTCAAAAATAATTCGATTGCTTAAAAAAGAATCATTAGAAAGGCTGTTTATATTGACTACAGGATTTTGTATTATTCTTTATGGTAGATGGACTATTATGGGTTCACCTCCTACTTTTCAACAAATTGATAATCCTGCATCATTTTTAGCAACACCATTTGAAAGAGTATAATAATTTATAATTTTTTCTTTTGTTTACCACAGTATATTAATTTTTGCCTGTTTTTTTTTTCAGTTTGTAAATTACAGTTACATCTATATCATAAACATTTGGATAATGATATGTCCTATTTGGCTATGCTTTGATTGGTCAATGGGTTGTATCTCTTTGATACATTTGAATACATTTCCTAAAGATCCAAGATTATTCATTGTTTTTGGATTTTGGATTATTCTTGTATTAATATTTTATAAAATCTTGTTTTCAGAAAATCGTGATAAAAAGTATGTGTTTTTATCCTTGAAATTGTGTACCTATTAATTAATGTAATTGTAATATTTTTCAGACAAATACAAATGGGATTTCTATTAGGCCTTTTGTCATTTTTGCCTGCTTCAAATTTAATGTTTACAGTTGGATTTGTCATTGCAGAACGAGTGTTATACTTACCTTCTGCTGGTTTCATTATAATTGTAGTCTTGGGTATCAGGAGATTATGTTCAAATTATTTTGTTCAAAGAGTAAGTGAATATACTACTTATAATCTTAATGTAATATTTATTGTATACACTTTGCTTAATAATATATTTTAATTATTAACACATTTTATTTATCATACTTTAGGTAGTTAGAATATGCATTTTACTATTGATTTTTGTACATTCCATTCGTACATATCAAAGGAGTAAGGAGTGGAATTCTGAATTAGAATTATTTAGAAGTGCATTAAAAGTTTGCCCAATGAATGCTAAAGTACATTATAATTTAGCAAAAAGTTTGGCTGATATCGGACATACACAGGAAGCTATACAGCGTTATAAACATGCACTATTGTAAATCTATTATATTTCTTATAAAAGCAAACCAGTCATATAATTATGTTATTCATTAGATTACACCCAAAGTATGATCAAGCAATGAATAATTTAGCAAATATTTTAAAAGACAAAAATGAATTGGAAGAGGCCAGATCTTTATTAGAAAAAGCTGTTACTATTAGGTGAGTAAAAAAAAATTAAATATAATCATTGCCATAAGTACGAAATCATATTTATGTTATAAAAAAAATTCTTATATTATATTATCACTGATAATAATTTTCAATGAGTATGATATAATTAGTTAAGTTATAAATTTATATTTTTGAGTATTTGATAGTTTCGAATATACTACAATATGATTTATTATCTTTTCTACTCATTTTGTAAAATATTCTTTGACAATTTACAAATACTGTTATTTGTTATACATTACCTAAAACTTAAGTTATGTTTAATATTATATTAGCTTAGTATTAGACATAGTACTTCCATGTGTTATCATTATCTTACACACATTACCAGGACCGTTTTGGGGGGGGGGGRGCTACAGGGTACTGTTGCCCCGGGCAGCTAAGTAGGAGAGGGCGGCTAATTTTTTTTATAATTTAAATTTGTATTTTGTATAATGATTAAGGGGGTGTATTTTTTTTGTGACCCCTTGGTGTCAAATTCCTAAATACTGCCCTGCACATTACATAGTATTTATACACAGTAGAACCTCAATTATCCGAAGTAATTGGGATCGCACCTAGTTCGGATACGCAAAAGATCAGATATTGAAAATATAAAATAAAAAAAAACCAAATTGATTATTATTGTTAATATTTTATTAGTATTACATACATAAGATTTTCAGAAATACATATCATTATAAGAAATCATCAAACGACATTTCCATTGCTTTCTCGATTTAATTAAAATTATTATATGTCGCATAAAATGTTATAAAATAAAATATAGAAAATTATTAAATTGTAAAAATATCTATATACTAACATTTTTTTTTTTATATTAATATTATACTTAATAATTATTGATAAAAATTGTATATCATTATTTTAAATTTGGTCGAAAAGGTTTTGATTGAAAACAGACTCGACCCTAATAAAAAGCCAAAAGCGTGAGTTATGATAAATTTGATATTCAGTTGGTCTATTGGCCGGATATGAGTTTTCACATTCGAATACGCTAATTTAGTTTGAATAATAGAAGGTTTGTATAATCGAGGTTCTACTGTATATATATTATACATGTATCAAATTCTTATTACAGTTTATGTATGTTAATATTAGATAAAATTTGTAAAGAAGAATATTAACTGTGTAGCTCTAGAGTTTTTTCATAAATTTATTAGATATAATTTATATATATACTCTGTTCCTATAGATAATAAACCTGATGATGACCTGTTTCCAACAGGCTGTCACATCTCCAACTACGAAATAGGTATTGGAATAGAAAAAAGTACGCAGAATTATTATTTTCTCTTTTGGAACAGAATATAGTTTTATGATTTTGAAAAAATGAGTAATTTAAACATCTTCTCATTACTCATTATATACATAAGTATGCACAGGTGCAATTTCAATAAAAAAAACTAAGGCCGCTTATGCTATATATCTTGTCATTTTAGTTGATTTGTTTTGAAAGAAGAAGTTTTTGATACATAAGCACTATACATAGATCATTATTTGAGGGTGTTAATTTTAAAATTGGGGGTGCTAATATCTCTTAAGCCCCCCCCCTATTTGCGCCTATGTAAGTATGAAGAACAAATTTATTCTCTTGAGCACTTTCTATAGTCTCTAAAAATTTACTCTATTATTATCTATCAATAAATTTTAGTAATACTCTGGCATAGTTTTTTTTTAAACACACACATGTACGTCTTGAGTCTTCTTACTATAATATAATAATAATAACATTTTATTTCATATTAAATATTAACTTAAAGAATAATATAATGTATGGAGTGAATAATTTATTTAACTGTTTCTATTCAGAAATGATTTTGCTGCTGCTTGGATGAATTTAGGTATTGTATTATCTGCTCAACACGAATACAATAAAGCTGAAGATGCATACTTAACTGCCTTACAGCACAGAAAAAGCTATCCTCACTGTTACTTTAACCTGGGAAATTTAGTGAGGCCTATATGAAATATGTGATAGTATTCATTTGTTTAATATTTAATATTTTTTTAGTATTTGGAAATGGGAGAGAAAACTAAAGCATTATTTGCTTGGCAAAATGCTACATTTCAACAACCAACTCATGTAATTTCATGGAATAATATGATTGTCCTGCTAGAGTCAATTGGTGAATTAAAAAGAGCAGAAAATGTTGCTCGCACAGCACTCTCTATTTTACCAAATGAACCAAACTTACATTTTAATATAGCCAACATATTAGGTAAAATAGATAAATTTGTAGAAGCTGAAAAGCATTTTTTGGCTGCTATTAAATTAAAACATCGATCTTCTAAGGCTATATTAGTTGCATTATATCATTCAAATCTGGGTGAGTATAAATTTAACTATTTTAACTTATGGCTTTTTTCTTATATTAATTATTGTTTTTTATTATTTTTTTTTTTACAGGAGTTTTATATCATCGTTGGGAAAAATATGATCTCGCAGAAATGCATTATTTACAAGCATTGATGATTGATCCAAATATGCAGAAAGTTAAAAATCATCTAGCAGCAATACGTAAACATTTAAATGAAATTAATCAACCCTCTCTCAATATAAAGTCTTATCAACAAGAAAAAGAGTTTTAATAAACTAAATTGGAAAAGTTTTTGTTTCATTATTAATATTATGTAAGTACAAGTCTGTATTGCTGCCATGTTTGAGTTCATAAAGTTATCGAAGATCTAGCATAAATATATATGTATTATTATTATTATGATAGAACTCTTTTTATGATAGCAATATCAGTTTAATTTATACAAAAGCAGTACTGACTAATGAAGTATGAATAAAAATATCAAATGATCATGCAAAACATTTTTAATAACCACTATAGTGAAAATATATTATGGTTGTGATTAATTTGTAATTTAGTCATGTATGAATAAATAATGAATTTATATATATATATATAGAATTATATACAGGGCGATTCTTTTAAGTGGGTACACTAATTATCTCGAAAAGTATTTACTTTTTCAAAATATTTTTTACATGGTTTCAAGTTGTTAAAAGTATTTTGATTCATAAAAATCAAATTTAGGACGAGTAGTTTATGAGTTATATGTATTTAAAGTTTAGACAAGCAGAGTAGTGGACAAAAATTTTATGGGGTAACCCCGTACCACTCCACTAAGCCAATCTAAACTTTAAATACTTATAACTCAAAAACTACTAGCCCTAAATTCGATTTTTATGAATCAAAATACTTAAAATATTCTGCTTTGGAATATGAAATTAAAACTCTATGTTGTCATTCAAAAAAGTAAAAACTTAAAAAATTATAAGGATAAAAAATATTTAAAAATATACTTTTTTAATAAAAACATTGGTTTTTTAACAACTTGAAACCATGTAAAAAAATATTTTGAARAAAGTAAATACTTTTCGAGATAACTAGTGTACCCACTTAAAAGAATCACCCTGTATATAATTAATGTAATGTCTAGCTTTAATTTTTATTTGTGCGTACAATATCTTTTAACCATTCCAATGATATAAAGTAAAATTAAGAAATCAATTAACTTAATTGTTACTACAATATTGATAAGTTTAAGAAAACCAGTTATTATATTTTGTAGTGTTATAAATATGTATAGTATAGCTCATACTTCTTCAATTATAAACCAATTGTTTCTTTTACTATGGAATGTGTTGTACTGTTTAAAATATTATTTAATGATAAAATATTTATAAATTTATTATTTAATTAAGTTATAAGATCATAAATTATACAAATAGTGAAATTTTGTTTTTCATCTCTTATAAAATTTTAAAAATGTGACTTATGAGGATGACATAATAAATGTGTGGTCTGTCTTATATTTTACATAACACAACAAATCTGCTGATCGGGTTCTTATTTTGGTTTATTTATATATTATTGAAATTGTAGAAGGAGATTATAAACTATAAATTGTACTAAAGCAAAGTTTTTTTTTTCAAACTTACATTTTAAAATAAGTCATAAGTACTTAAATATTTGAAAAAAATCTTTGCTCAAACACATTTTATATTCACCTCTACAAATTTAATAATATTTATTATATCCATTGTAAAATATAAGTATTAACTATAAATAAACTGTAGTAAGAATCAGGTACACAAATTTGCATTGTTASACATAGTAAAACGGAGACAACACTGTGGAGTGTGGATGGTGGGTGTAGTGCCCTATTGATCAAACACCCAAATTATATTATAAATTTATAATATATTCATAACACTAATATTTAGTCATTATTTTAAGATTTGTTATTTTAAGATCAATTTACATTTGTTTGAAGTATTATTTAGATTTAAGATATTTCCATTTTTATATTAATTTTTGTATAAAAAAATTTTGTTTATTATCCTAACAGTTTTTATCTTTTCTTAATACCAAACTTATATTTCTTACAGCAAAAATCGTTTATTCTCTTAAATATAAATTATAATATCTATATGATAAAATACATGGACAAGTAAATTAGCTAAATCAAATAATCACCTTTTAGTTAGAAAATTAAATAACCTGAATAAGTACAAAATTGTGTAAGAAAGTTAAACCATAGTTTATTTCAATTTTATAATATTAATTTTAAAAATATAAAAATGTTTTCAGTACTCAATATCAATCACAGAGGAGGTTAAGTTTAACCTATTCTGTATACCAATAGTAAACTATGTTTTTAGTACTTAACCGGTGTAGGCCAATCAATTTCAATATCTAAAACATCTAAAGCTAATATATCAACAGCATCATTTTCCAAAATTGTCCTGAGACAAGGATTTGTACGTCCAAAGTCTCCATGAACAAATTCTTTTACATATGTACCAGCCTGGGTGGATAAAATCACATTGAAAAATGAACAACCATTATCTACACCGACTTTGGTTGCTACAGCTTTCATTGAGTGTATAGTTCTGGGCCTGACCATATTAGCTCTTCTATGCAATACTCTGATTGGTGTGTACTGTAATATTTCTAAAGGAGCACAGTTGTTGAGTTTTTCCATATCTGGTAACTCTCCTTCAACGTAACAAAGAGCCTTATATACTTTAATTTTAAATTCTTCACCAGATTTCAACTCTTTCAATTGGTCTTTAACAACATTTTGCAAGTGTTTTACAGTCACTTGTAGATTAGTGTTTATTTCATTTTCAATTTCCCTCAATACTTCATAACTGAATTTAGTTAGTTTTGGATTGACTAATTCGATGGCAAACGGCCTTCCTCTTCCCAACATTCTGACATCAATGTCTTCCCTACCAGATGCTGAGAATCTAAATTCATCAGCTAATGCACGTTTTTTTATCGGATCAGATATTATTTCTTCAACTGAACTTTCTAGTCTTCTCTCTTGGTCTACTATCCAAGGTGTTTGAGAAAGGGTCCTAGACCACTTATTATAACGACCAGCAATATATACACTTTCATGTCTAGCATCTACACTTTTGAATTCTATTATTGATTCTGGTACTGATGGCATTTCACCATATTGACTAACAAAATCATTGTTATCCATTTGAGATAAAATGTTTTGTAAATTTTTGTTACTTAATTTTATAATTGCATTTAAACAATCACATTCATCTTTTATATCCTCATAATGAAAATCTACAGTAACTAGCAATGGTGAATGCACATCAAAACGTTTACCAGTAGCTTTTACAATAGCGTCTTCAGCCATTAATTTCCAAGCGTCTTTGGCACAAACAAAAGCTGTAGGAAACGTTGGATTGAATGTTATTCTCAATTTTGATACATATAATGCTATTGAATGACCACGAATAATAGTACACATGGGTAAATTAAACGCTAAATTAAATGTATCCGAATCATATTTAGATGTTTTTAAATAAGAAATAATTTTATTGATGATATCATCTTTTTGTGGATTTTGAAATAATCCCAGACATGCTATACAAGGATTTTTTTTTAGACGTTTTGGTTCATCATGTTCCTGTTCTGATGCAGCAATTAATGTCTTAACATTAACTGTAGAAGGTTTTGTTAAGTGTCTAACTGCACATACTCGACAACAACCAAATTTTAACAAGTTCTGTTGGATTTCGTCTACGTTCTGTTCCATTGTAAAGTCTGTAAATAAAATTACGTTTGAATTACTATCAATAATTAATATTGAATAAACTTATTAATAATATGATAAATATTTGAAAAACAAATTATAAATATTATAAGTAGGTAGCATGCTATCACATATTTTTCATCTTCAAGGAAAATTAAGGAATCATAAATACATAATTTGCTTTTAGGCAAGTGCAAAGGAAAACTGATCTAATATCATACTTCATTTTGTAAGGAATTTCATAATTATTATTTTTTTTTTTTATTTGTTAATCTGTGTTTCTTTGCTTATAACTAATAAACAAAGCATTGCAAAACTCGGCTTCGCAAAAATTTGTTAGACAAAATGTACAATTATTAAAATTGTATTATAATTTAAAACTTGAAAAATAAATTTAGTCCACGGTGGCCAAATCCAATTATTAATAAAAACATAATACCTAATAATAATGTTTTTTAAATTTAATTATTGCCCTTCAAAAACAAAATAAGTATAAACAAATTTAAATGATTACTCTACAAATTTTACATGTTACCATTAAGGAAAAAAAAATGTGAATTTTCAGTGATAAAACAGTAAGATACTTATGTTGGAACTACTCAGAAGAACGCGTGTACAGCCGACACCGCGTAGTGTTCAATACCTAAATGAAAGCTTTCCTATCGTTGCAAGCTCGCAKATTTGATCKTCAACAAGTGTTTGATTCCGCCGAGCAGTCATGATTTATTTTCTCTGTTGATTTTAATATTTAATTATTAATTACGACTGTGGTAAAAGAAATACATCATAGATTGTTCGAGAATGAATAAAACTCGCGTGTGTTTACAAATTATTACAAATTACAATTTACATTCACACGCGGTAATACGGCAAGTGTGCGCGCGCTCGATCACAATCAAGGCAGGCGGAGGAGGCGAACGCCCTTGGGCGTCGAGAGGTCGACCGGCTACGGCATTATGATTCACGTTGCACAGCAACAAGCGGCCGCTGACGTCGTTTGAACTTTTTAAAGGCAGTAGTTAGTAGTTACCGGTAAGTCGAGCTCGGGCAATGTGCGGTGGTCAATGTAACAGTAGTGGTCCGACGTAGAGCGGGGCGACCGATATGGACCGAATATTTCGAGGCATAATGAAGTACAGGCGGACGAACAGGGCGAAAATGGTCGAGCAATTCGTCCAGGTGAAAAACAACCCGGAGGTAAGGTCAAACACGAACTACGGACGACATCGGGTCCCTGTGAGACGCGAATTATTTTTGTGGAGGAGAAGGGGCACAATTAGTGGACATTAATAATTACGAGACGCTGCGTCTATTATTATTTTAATATGCTTTACCTAATTACTAATTGCCTCGTCAATTTATTGCCGTTGAGGCGTTGACTGTTGTCAGTCGTCTTGTCAATGAGTAATTTTGTTAGCTGCTGAAACGACGTTATAGAACGTGCATGGAAATAATAAATATCACCACCGGAACTCACAAAGTCACAACTGTCACCACGGTTATCGATACTATTACCACTATTACTATGGTATCAATTGACGATATGTTATCATCAGGAAACGTGCGGCGTTTCGCGCTTATCGTCTTTACGAAGAAAGTTTTCTCTGACTCAGTGTTGCCAGCAAACGGCGATAACGATCGTGGTGACTATATGGGTCCCTAATTAAGTGATTTCCGAGAAGTGGTGCGAAGTGCTGTGAGGGTTGTAGAACACTAATTTGTATGGTTATCCAAAAATAATGAAAGTCGCGCAAAGTTTGTCTGTTTAACAACAATTGTCAATATATTTATATTATGGTGGACAGTTTGTTTTATTTCAGGCAGAAAAAAAAGTATACATTTTACATAATTTCTTTATTTCAAAACACAGGTAGTTGACAGACTTAAATAATATTATGAGGACGTCTAATTGTCGCCTCTGTGACTTTCAAGTGCGTAACATACCAAATTTACCCTCAGGCCTCAATAGATCACGTGTAACTTTATGGGCATCCCCAGACATTTTCTAGGAGGGAGGGGGTAAAATTTATTTAAAAATAAATGAAGATTATTTTATGTTTATATTTTAAAAGTAATCTAAATTAACTAAATTGGCGCGTCATAGATAATGCGTTGGAAAAAGAATTTAAAATTCTAGGAGGAATGCCCCGTCATACTCCCCCTGGGGACGCCCGTGTCTAGAGGAGGTCGATTGAATCGACTCGATTCACTCAAATTTTTAAATTGACGAAGCTAAACGTGATATACTAAGCGTAAACTTGATATGTTACGCACATGTAAGAGTGTAAAATTGTGAGAGAGGGAGAGACTACAATTAATGTAAGTGTTATGTCCTCTTATTAATAATAATAGTAATGATGATAATAAATTCGTGCTACGTACATGTTTCGTGAACTTTTAAAATATTCACTGACTCACTGTCGATTGTAAGACATAATATAAAAATTCAAAATATAACAAATTATTTCAAGAAATTGTGTATTTTTTATTTTTACTCGTATTTCGTCCTGTGTGGCTGTGTACCGGTTTCGTGAATTCTTTTGTGTGTGTGTCGAAATTTTCTTATATTTTCGTTTACATGACATGCATTCATCTAATTGCAAAGATCGTAAATTACTCCAGAAACTTAGATGAGTCAATCTAACAATTTATTGAATGAATTGTTTCATCCTACGATAAAATTATTTGT